CCCATAGAATATAGATCCACACGTTTGATGGACACTTGAACCGAATTCGCCAAAAACATTTCAAATTTAAAATCTCTAATAAATCCAAAAGTCACTATACTGACATTCAAGAAAATCTATTAACCGCTACGAAACTGAGTGTAAGTTACAATATTGTACCTAATCAATTGAAATTAATGACATGTCTGTTAAAATGTTTACATAAATGTGACATCATATTTTAATTGACGTGGTTAAGTTATTTTAATTTGCACCCACTAGCAACCCTATATTCGAGTACTAAAATTTTGTGTCAATAGGAAAAAAATGGGTAAATATGCAACATATAGAATACACTACAATCCTCTATAAAACGGGGTTGATCCTATCAATATATATGAAATTAAAACAATGACCTAAGTGTCTCACTTCCCAATCTGATCTTCTTCAAATTATACCAGATGGAGAATCTATTCCTTTCCATTGTAGTACTTTTCATTCCTTCTCTCCTCTTTGTGTTGATGATACCGAAATTAGCAGCTTGGAAGAAATCCAGGACAGCTAATTCAACTCTAAATATTCCCCCAGGGCCATGGAAACTTCCTCTCATAGGAAATCTTCATCTTCTTATTGGTTCTCTACCACATCATCGCCTAAGAGACTTGGCCAAAACATATGGACCCCTTATGCATCTACAGCTCGGAGAACTTTCTAATATCGTCGTTTCCTCGCCGGAGATCGTACACGAGATGGTAAAAACTCATGATGTTAACTTCTCAGAGAGGTCCTTTCTCCCTGCAAGTGTCTATGGTCCTATAAGCGTGGTCTCGTCGCCGTACGGAGAATATTGGAGACAGCTTAGGAGAATTTACGCACAAGAACTGCTGAATCCAGGACGCGTTCAATCCTTCCGATCAATCAGGGAAGAAGAGGTATCCAATCTACTCAGATATTTGTCTTCAAGTGTGGGCACGTCAATCAATCTTACAGAGCAGATATTTTCGATGACGTATGGTATCACAGCAAAGGCGGCCTTTGGTAGGAAATGCAAAGATCAAGAGGCTTTCATTTCGCTTGTTAGGGAAATTTTGAAGATTACTGGAGGTTTTGGTCTTTCTGATGTGTTCCCTTCCCAAAAATGGCTTCGTTGGATCAGTGGCGTGGGGCCTAAAATAGAGGAAAATTTCAAGAAAACCGATGAAATTGTAGAAAGAATTATGAAAGATTGGCGAGAAGAAACAGAAGCGAAGACCGGCGAGGGTAAAGGAAATAGTTTTTTAGATGTCCTTTTGAATCTTCAAGAAAAAGGTGATCTTGCATATCCATTGGCAGACCCAAACATCAAAGCTATTCTCCTGGTTAGTATATCTCTTTACCTCTATATTTCTCCAATTATATACACACATAACGAATGACAGCTCCGAAAATACAACTTTTCCAGGATGTACTCGTCGCCGGGAGTGACACGACGTCGACGTTCCTGGAGTGGGCAATGTTGGAGATGTTGAGAAATCCAAGAGTGATGGAGAAAGCACAAGCCGAGGTGAGACAAGTGTATGGAGCAAAAGGGAAAGTTGATGAAACATGTCTTCATGAATTGAAGTACTTAAAGCTATTTATCAAAGAGACTTTCAGGTTGCACCCTCCTGGTCCCTTTCTTCTTCCAAGAGAATCAAAAGAAGATTGTGTTTTAAATGGATACTACATACCTGCCAAGACTAAAGTCATAATCAATGCATGGGCAATAGGTAGAGATCCCGAATATTGGACTGAACCCGAGCAATTTTACCCCGAGAGGTTTATCGATAGTTCGATTGACTTCAAGGGGACTAATTTTGTGCTCATCCCATTTGGTGCTGGTAGGAGGATGTGCCCTGGCCTAACATTTGCTATGGCTGATATTGAGCTTCCTCTTGCAGCATTACTGTTCCATTTCGATTGGAAACTTCCCGGCGGGATCACCCACAAAAATCTAGACATGACCGAGATTTTTGCTGGCACGGTTGGAGTAAAAGGGGGTCTCCACTTAATCCCTGTTAATCCTTTTAGTTCATCCTCTATTTAGTCTTAGACGTTCATTATAATCCCAGTTGAAGGGTACTATTATTATCTATTGACAATAAGGAAGCTAAGCTCAGTGGAATAATAAAGTAAAATAGTTTAGGGCTTAGTTTGTAGCAAAAATAAAGTGTATTAGTTTGTATTCACCCTGTATTTACCAGAAGTATTTGCAGCAAATAAAGATTCTTGGGATCTTATATTCCTTTTTAATATATAGTACATTTGCCGAAAGTCTTTATATAGGTTTCCAGCAATGACAAATAATTAGTTTGTATCATACGTATGTTTTCATTCTAGATTACTTGTAACATTGGAAAAGTTTAAATAATTAGTGATGAGTATCATATGATCAACCAACTTTTATTTTATTTCATTTCATTTCATTTTGTGTGACTTCTAACATTCAATATACTCAAAATATTCATGTTTGAAAGTGAACATGTAATTTTGAAAAATATGACAAGATGGGAAAAATATTTGCGAATTTCAGAAATAAGAGAGGCTCATGGAAAATGAAATTTTATATATGTATATATTAAACTATTGATCTTAATTAATGACTACTACCCGGATTAAAAATGAATAAAAATCGAAAAATGCACACTTTTCTCAAAATTGAACAACAAAAAAAGAAATCGTGGCGTTGAAGTTTCGTGCAAATTTTGCAGTCCTTTTAGTGATTGTCACCAATGGTATCCTTTTGAAAATCCATCAAAATAAATAGGTTCATTAAGTCCCACCAAAAAATTTGTAGATATATCATTTAGCAATGACAAGTTTATTTATTTATTTTTTTATTTTTTTATTTTTTTTTTTGAAAATCCAACTAAATACATTGGCACGATAACACCAATTCAAAATTTTAAAATCCTTTAGTGCCGACTAATCTTGTGATTAAATGGTTATAATTACCAGAAAAAAAAAAAGCAAAAAAACGGTAGACGATTTTCTTGTTTTAATGACGGTAAAACATATGATGTTAGGGATGCATATGTCGTAGCATCTATGAGCGAATTATTAGAGTTTTTTTTTTTTTTTTTTGTTAAGTGAATATCCGAGTGTAGGTGTAGAATTCGAATTGTAGTTCCAAATGGATCAAATTATTTACCCTACCAAACATTAATTCGGACCTAGACTTGATTCAAATAGTGATTTTTTATTTTATTTTATCAGGTGACGTGATCTTCAGCAACAATGTGAAAATACATGGTCACGAAAGGTTCAGATTTAGCAACATGAATTTATAATGTCAAGGTTAGAAATTTTATTTTTAAACAAGTAAAAGTAGGCATGTGCGATGCACTTCCCAGTTACAAAAGAAACAAAATAATAATAAATAAAAAAAGAGTCCAATTAAAGAAGAGATTTTTTTATAGGGGAAGGAAAAAGATATGAATGGAAAAAAGTAAATATATCATTATGTCACTTGTTTCAATGTAGCATTATTTTACTTAACATACATTATTTTACTTAATATATATAGACTGCACTATCTCTTTTGATGAGGAGCCTTTATAGATTCGGAAGTCACTTTTAGCATGTGATAAAAATATTATTTTTTTTATCATTTTTTTGTTAAAACTAGCTCTATATGTACGTAAGAGAAAACAGTAAATAACAAGTAAGTAAAAAGAAAAAAAAGAGGAATGGCATAAATAAATAAATAAATAAAGAATGAACCACTTTTTTTTTTTTTTTTAACTCAAAGTCAGAGAAAAATATAGATAACAAGTAAGTAGAAATCAGTAAAAAAATATGAAGGGATATAAATATAAACAAAGATTAAATCACTTTTTCTTGAGCTCTATTGTTTTCATTTTTTACACTTTTCACTCATTTGTTATCTATTGTTTTCACTTGCTTAGAATTTAAGAAAAAATGATTTAATTTATTTTTTTCTTTTTTTCTTTTTTTACATTCATGGCCTTCACTTTTTATACATTTTGCTTACTTAGTTCTTAGTAGAAAGCAATCTAGTTTTTGCTTCCATTTATGCCCCTTATTTTTTGTGCTTTTTACTTATTTTTATCTACTAATTTCTCTTTCTTAATTAGAGCTCAAGAAAAAGTGAATTAATCTTTATTTCCATTTTTGCTTCTCACCTTTTGTACTTTTTACTTTCTACTGTTCTCTTTGTACAGAAAACAAATATTAAGCCACTTTTTCTTGAACTCAAAGAAAGAAAAAATAGTAGATAACAAGTAAGTAAAAAAGGCAATAAGTGAAGGGTATAAATATAAACAAAACTAAAATGTTTTTTCTTAAGTTCAAAAGTATAAAAAGTGAAGGCATAAACGAAAATAAAAATTAAACCATATTTTCTTAAGCAGTAAGTAAAACAATATATAACTACTTATAAGTAAAAATTGTAAAAAACAAAGAGCATAAATGGAAAAAAAAAAAAAATTAGACGACAGTTGCTTGGCTCATCACATTTTTAAGATACTAGTTGAAAGGAAAAAAATAAAAGCATAGTTATTAGGGGGGTCATTTAGAGAAATTAAAAAAAAATGTATAATATGATAAAAAGAATTATATTAAAAAAGAAGATGAGGGAAAAAAATATAACAAAGTTAAAAAATAAGAATGCAAAATGGGTAGGCAAGAAAAATAAAGAAGAGATAAAAAACAGAGAAAAAGTTTCAAAAAAAAAAAAAAAGAAAGAAAGAAAGAAGCAAAAAGTAAAAAATAAAAATAAAAAAAGAAAGGTTTCGTCGCACAACAGTGTCGCGCTAGAAAATTCATAGCAAGAATATCGTCACATCTCCCCCTAGAGTATATAGATCCACCTGATCCATGTAACACTTAAACATTTCAATTATACCTTAAGCTTTTTTATGATTATGATTATTATTTTTTAAGTACTCTTATTTTAAATTTAAAATCTCTAATAAAGGGGGAATATGACTGAACTAATAAAGCGGGAAAAATAAAGAGATGTAAAAAAAATTTTAGGATGAAAAAATAAAAATTTTATAAACAAAATAAAAAAGAAAAAAAAAAGTTTTGGTGCGTTAACATCGGACCCTCGTCCATAGGTGGCTCCTCCTTTGCCAGTTGAATATCTCATCATTTTATTATATATACTAAAGAAGAGGCATGATTTACTGTGCAGGAATACCGGTTTTATCTATTGAATTTGAATTGTCGAATTTGCCCTTTTTTGTTTTCCTTTCTTCTCCTTTTTCTACGCAAGGGCTTTTAGGTCTTTTCCAGCCCTATGGTTTGATTATACACTTTTATTTTATCCTCAGTTTTTTATTTCTTTATTTGTGTTTATATTTACTAATTTATATCAATTATCAATAAAAACTAACATTTATTATTTTGAATACATATTTTAACAATCTTTTATCATTTTAGTTCTGAAACAAAGGCAACAGACCCACTCAAAAAAGGTCAAAAATCAGGTAATATAACTACTTCTAAATCCTTTGATTTACAATGCATATAATTAAAGATTTTCAGCTTCCTTAATTATTATTATTAATTTTTTTAATTTGTATTTTCTAGTTAAGAAGAACAAAAGGAAAAAATGAAAACAAAAGCTATAATACATTACAAGAAACTTTTAACTAAAATATTACATAGATATATATATATATATATTTATTTATTTATATATATGTATTTATAAACTAATTCTATACTATAAAAATTCCTAACTTTTTTATAATACAACAGTATGTTGCTGCGCAGCAACGCAAATTGTTTTGTACATCAACAAATAGAATTAAGATCAAAACGACACAAGAAATACTCCAATATCTATTGGTCTTTTTTGAAATTATGGTAGGACAAAATGTTTTCATATGTACTTTTAAAAAATTCCAAATACTGTTACTTTATAACGAATTTTTTTCACCAGTTATAAATTTCTCTAAAAAAAATAACAAAACTACATTAACAGTGCATCTACACTCTACATGATTAAACAACTAGATAAGACAGCATACCTAGCTGTTTGTAATCTAAAATCAAGGGCACGTAAACGTGCCTATCTCTACTAGTCTCAACTAGTTTTACAAATACAAAAGTAATTAATCTATTAATGTGACTTCATATAGTTTACTAGTTGTTATATTATATTCATTAATTATCAATGACAACATATAATCTTGGTAAAGTCTTCAATTCGGTACCGGATTAGAGCGACACATGTATATTTTTTTTTAAAACATGTATATTTCCTCTTAAAACATACATATTTCTTCTAAAAAATTATATATAGGTGTTTAGACTAATTATAAGTGTCTCCTCATAGTATACATATTTTAAGAGAAAATATATATATGTTTTTAAAAAATATACATGTGTCGTTCCAATTCGGTACCGGATCAAAGACAATTCCTATATCTTTTATTCTCGAGCCTTGATTCCAAGACTTTTCCCAAAGTTAATGATACTTAAATATATCACAGCAAAATTGTTATATCTGAAATTCGTTTCTTTTTAATGACACAATATCTTTCGTAATCTCAAACTTTGAAGCACGACTTTTCCTTAACTTCAACTCACTCAAGTCAAGACTTTTCCTAGTAAAAAAACTTGCTGTTTTTAAGGATAAAGTTATAAGTTTTCTAATTTGTGTTAGACATTTTATACATATGTTAAAGAAAATTCATAGCCACAATATTGTCTCACCTCCCCCTAGAGCGTATAGATCGACACGTTTGATGAACACTTGAACCGAATTCGCTAAAAACATTTAAACTATATCCTATGTTTTAATTTGTTTTATCTCTAATAAGTCCAAAATTCATTATACTGACATTCATGAAAATCTTGAAACCACTATGAAACTAAGGGTGTGTTTGGTTGTAGCAGTGGAATAATAATGAGAATGGTAATAGGAATGGTAATAAAATGGAATTAGAATGTTTTAGAATCATAAACTAATTTTTTAGTTTGGTTGGAGTTATGAAATGACTTCAGAATAGAATGAACTAAATTGCATTTTACCAAAAATACCCTTGAACCCATAACCTTCATCTTAACCAAAAACGTGAACGAACAAACAACCCCAAATTCAGAAAAAAAAATCATTAGGTTATTCCGAACAAGAACAACTCCAAATCTAAACAATATACTCCTTAGAAAAACAATTATTCAAAGTTTATCACAAATCTGAAAAAAATCAAA